CCCCCATCCATGCTCCTGGTCTTTCCCCTGCCTGGCCCCCATACTCTCCGCCTGTCCACCTGGCCTGGCCCACTCCTCGGGGCCAGCCGGGCCCGAGAGGCGGTGTAATTTGTGCAAGAAAGTAAATGGGTCCGAGACATTGCGTGGCGGCGCATGTGGTAGCGCGAGGGAGGGGAGGATGGGCGGCGGCGGAAAGGGTGGAGGAGATGTGTGTTTTGGGCGAAGACGCCGGGCATTGCACGCTTGCAGTTCATGACGTAACTGACGAGGCATCTTTGTCGTGTTTCTGAGACATCTGTACGAGGAGGGTGGAAGACACATATCGGGGCGTGGGGATCGGTAGGGTCATTGGGATATCTAGGTCGTCGTCGGTGAGGGATGAGCGGGAGAAGGAAGAAAGAAACAAAGGAATAGAAAGGCGACCAAGGCGAGACGCCAGACGGAAGAGCCACGTATCCATGTATATACCAGGAAACCCAAAAGACGGCGCCAGTCCGTGGTAGGATAAGCTCGGCGGCGAGGGAAAGCATCTCGTGGCACCACTGACATGTGATGGATGGGCCAATGGGGGTTGTATTACATAGTAAGCGCAAGCACGGAAACGTTGGCTACGAAATAACCCTGACAAGAACTAGCGCATTCTTCGTGTACCGAATCTTGGCACGGTCGAGCCGATCGGCCGGGCCACCCCGGTGTCGTCGGCCTTTTACGGGGCGGCGCCGGTGCTGGGAGCCGACGCCCGGGAACCCGGTCATGTTTGACTGTGGGGGGGCAAGCAGGGTGGGCTTGGTGGGGCAGCACGATGCAACGCTACTGGAAATGGAAGGGCTGAGCAAGTTTGAGAAGGTTTCCATTGGTGGCAGATGCTGGTCGTTCCATCTGTCCAGAACCACAGCAACTGTAACAAAAGAATGGCGAGATAGAAAGGACACGAAATAGTTGTACAGCACCGAACTTTTTTTTTTGACATTTATTCGAGAATATTGAATGATTGGTCGTTAATCGTATAGGGAAAAAGATACACACAGACGGGAGAGTAGCCCTGAACCAGCATGGCAACTTGCGACAGTCGACCGACCCTCTGGCCTCGGCTTTTGTCCGAGTTAGTGTTCCGAGCCCGAGGAGAAGCGGCCGACGGCAAGGGAGCCGAGGAATGTTCCGCCGAGGACCGCCAGGAAGTAGCCGATGTTCATGGTCATGACAGCAAGCATGCTGTTTTTGGGGACAAGAGGGTGTCAGTTGACATGTTTGCAAGTGAGCAGCAGCAGACATCAAGGGAAAGAGAGGAGAAGTACGTACAGGAGGTAGCCAGTCGCAGCAATGACGGTGTCGATGACGGCGCGGAGCGGGTCGACCGAGAGGCGCCAGGGCCGGGGCCCCGTCGTGTGCTTCTTGACCACCACCACGTCCTCCTCGACGCCGTTGGACGACAGGACGGCGCGGGGCTGCTTGGCGAACGAGTCGACCGAGGCGGCGCGCTCGGCCATGGGCAGGCGGCCGTTGACCACGACGTAGCGGCGCTTGAGCTCGGCGTCGAGCCAGCGCGCCTCCTGCCAGGCCTTGGCCGCGAGCAGGCAGCGGAAGAGGACGGCGAGCAGGACCAGGAAGATGATGGTGGCGGCGTAGCCGGCCGCGTTCTTGGGCGTCCAGCCCGTCGAGTAGAGCGCCGTCTTGGGGTCGTTCTGGAAGACGGACATCATCATCATCATCATGCCGCCGCCGCCGCCGCCGGAACCGTGGCCGTCGCCGCCCCCCGACATGTCCATGTCGGCCATGGAGCTGCCAGCCGTCGCGGCCCCGGTCGTCGCGGCCGCGCCGTGGTTCTCGGCGCCGTGCCTCGGGAAGATCATGGTGATGTGTGGGTGTGAGTGTGAGTGGGTGGGTGTATATGTGGTTGTAGCTGGTCGAGAGCCAAGGTGGGCGCGGAAGGGGGGGGTATCGAGGTTTGGGTTGGATTACGAAGTCAGAAAATAAGTAGTAGTGTACAGGGTCGACCGCGACTAGCACGGGAGCAGCAGCTAACCAAGAAAACGAGAGAGACAGTAAAGATGGTGGGGCGAGGGGTGAATGGGGTGACGGGAGAGGGCGACAGGATGGGAGGCGGCGGGAAGGGTATAAATGCGAGGCGAATGTCGTTCCCGCGATCGACGGGGCGGGGGCTATCTTGGACCACGGCCCCCTGGGCTCAGAAAAAGGGTCGCAGGGGTCGGGTCTCGAGCAAGTTTGCGCGGGTAGAATGGTAAAACGGGAGCCGTCGCGATCGATGGCAGGGGTCGGGCTTTCTGTCTCTGTCTCTGCCTGGGTCTGTCTGATGCCGACGGATCTCTGCCTGTTTGTTTCGAGGGAGAAAAAGAAAAAGAGAGAAAGCGAAGAAACAAAAAAGGCGAGGCAATTGTGATTTGGAATGGGCGTCTCTGCCGGAATGGAATGCATGGGATTTTGAGAGAAAACTTGCTCACCAACATTCCGCGCTTGCCCTCGTCTGTCAGGAACGGACGGCGCTGCTACTCTACTGACCGCTGCAACAATGTGCTGTCCACCTTATCCAGCAGCATCAGCAGCATCAGCAGCAACCACCACGTAGGACCTGCGTAACCGCCTGTCTATTTGAAAACAGCTGGCGCACAAAAAGACCGAGAACAGCAAACGCCCGTTTTCGTTGTGAATCCCGAGACAACAAGGCGAGTGCCAAGGATGGAACGCCTGCCATAAACGGAAAGTGGAGTGAGCAAGTGTGGGTTCACGTCGTGTGGTTTCTGTGGTTCCTGTGGCGATCCTGTGCGGTGCTGCTGTTGTTCAGTAGAAGCGCCGATTCAGTCAAGGTGTAAATTCAATTCTTCTCACACTTCCCGACGACACGAACTAGTCGAGCTGCTCTGTCAGCCTGGATCCATGCAGCCATTCCGACCGCAATCGCCGTCCCCTCAAGAACACGAAAAAATAAATAAAAAAATTAGGGCTTCTTCCTCTTCTTCTCTTCTTCTCTCCTTCTGCCGGAGCTTGGCCCCTGGAACTCTTGGCATCGCCACTCCGCGCAGAAGATCAAACGGGTTTGGAGGACAAGCTCCCGCCCTAGGTTGACGCAGGGCCGACAAGGGTCGGTCCTGCGACGTCCCAAAAGGCCTTGCGCCAAGCCCACGTCGTCCGTTCGTTCCCCCCAGGAATGCCAAGGGGTCGCCGTCCACTTTGATGCCAATCCCTGCTGTGCATCAGCCGTAAAGCATAGACCAGGGAAGAAGAAGAAGCACGGCTCGCTGAAAGTGCCCTGTTTGGTCAAGTAGTTGATATCCGAACGGGTTAAGATGGCTTTTTTTTTTCTCCAATACGCGGGGGGAGGGGGCGACTTCTTCTCTCC